TAACCCCTATGGCTTGTTAGTTGGTACCAGCCGGTACCTCCCGACTTAGGGGTCCGGCTGAGATAGTTCATATGGGCGAAAGCCTCAAAGCTTGGCTCCACCCCGTACATTTCGCACCCGGCCACATAGCCGAGTACGTTTACCCAAGAGTTGGGGGCTAACTGCCATAACCCCAGATCATACCCATCTAAAATCCGCTGAACAACCGGATGTAATGGGAAGCGCAGTCCAGCTTTGATGGCCGCCACATAGCAGCCAAAGCAGCCGTCACCATAGCTGGTACCAGCCGGCCAGACGACAGTGTCTTCTGGATCCGGCACGAACAGTAAAAATTCCGGGCCCATTTTGTGGTTAGCAATAAAGCTCGCCACGTTGTCTCGCATGGTTGCAATCCGGCCCCGGGGTACCCTGCAGTAGTAGGGGGCGTTTTCCTCTCTGTAAGAGGCGGACGGCTCTGCCCAATTATCCCCCTTCTCAACTGCATGAGAACGTCTCGCCTCTTGTAGGCGGCTATGTTTCTCTTCTGAGCCAGGAGAACTGTGGCCAGAAGAGCTGGATTCGGACTCGTCCCCTGACGAGTCCGAAGAGGACGACTCCTCCTCTCTCCTAGAGGGGCCCGCCTCCTCTCCCTTAGAAGGAGCAGAAGGAAAATTAGACATGTCCACGGTAAGATGGGAAGGGAACACCTTGGCCCCTCTCTCAGAACTGTCAGCTTGACAGTCGCCTCGTTCTACATCTGGCGCCTGGTCAGATGTTTCACTAAGGAGCACCCTTTGGGAGGAGCCGTCTGAGTTTGATATCATAGCAGTCTTTTTTGTTCTGGCCATCACGTTCTGCATAGACACAGATACAGTCGGACTTTGTATAAAGGGCAAAGATGGGTCCAGAAAAGGGCAGGCGGCACTCCTAGTCCTAGATTCAGCCGTCCCCGGTGACCGGCTGATCACTAACTTAGGGCGTGTCGTGTGCTTCCATGGTGCCATTTCAAAAAATAAAAAGAAAGTTAAGAGTAAGAGAACTGAGTTACCTGAACGAGTGACGGTTGATGAAGTCCTGAAAGTTCGGGTCAGTCGGCTTGTCAGAACAGGCGGTAGGCAGAAAAAGTCCGAAATGTCAGAGCAAGTTCAGGGGTCCGAATGTTCTCGCAAAGTTCTCAAATGTGAAAATGACCGAAGTCAGCACTTCCTTTTATAGGCAAAGTGAGAAGGCGAAGGGTCGCTTCCAAATTCAAAATTTGGGCGGGAAAATCTCTCGGCCGTCTGCAAGGTGACACCTGTAACAGGCCGTCGCCTGTCACCGTGCGACACCTGTCACAGGCGACACGTGACCAGTCGCGTGCCACCTGTGAGGGGCAAATGATTAGGGGATTTTTATCCACCAATCACCGTCTGACAAGTGGACCAACCAGGTTCCGCCACGTGTTCTTCACGAAGGCCAACAGGAACCTGCCACGTGTCAATCACAGATACGTCCTCCACGGACCACTTTAGACACGCCACGTGTCCACCCATGCCAAATGGGACAACCGGCCATCAAGGCCCAATTCAGTCTAGAGGCCCGATCAGCCCTAGGTTTACCTTAAACCTAGAGAGTTGCACGCTTCTCAAGGCTATAAATACTCGATTAATCCTCATTAATCACAGGATCGAATAATCAAGAGATCAAGCAGAGAAGAACAGAGTTATTAACAACCGGCTAATCTCGCTAACAACGCAGATTACCAACACTAAGCACTCTCACCTAGAGAGATCTCATTACTTTAATTTCTGTATTGATTACTCCTTAATCGGGTACTAACTTGACCGTTGGAGGCGGAGCTCTCAGGAGTCTCCGTTATTTTGCAGGTACAGGCGTCCGGTTCCAGTCTCGGAATTGTAACTCTCCCGCAGGACATCAGAAAACCCCGAAACAATAACCATGTGTTGAACAATGTTGTGGATGCTTATGTTTGCCTATTGAATTTTGAAAATAAAAGACGTGGTGTAGACAAGAAGAGTAGATTCTTTTTCACTACTGAATGCTATGTATATTTTCGAAATTAAAATTATAACTTTGTTCTAAGTATCTTACTTATATTCTAATTTTTGCTCCTCATATAGATTATACTATGCACTTATGTTCTTATTACTTATGTTTTAATTTCTTTTTCTTTTTCAGCTCATACGTTGTACCAAAAAATACTTCAAATTCAATGAAAGGCATGAAGATAGAATGAAGGCTTTGTTTGATAGAATGCAACAAGAAATGACAACAGCCGAAGTAACGAGCTTCCAAAGCATTCAATTGGTAACTTGGTTCTAATTATATCTTATTATGTTGTACTTTTTTCTTATTATATGTTCTAATTATTGGTTTTGTTTATGTTCTAATTATTTTTATCTATGTTCTAAAGTATCTGCTTATGTTCTAAACTACTTATTTATCTTTTAAACTACTTACTTATGTTCTAAACTACATATTCTTAGCTACAAGCTTATTTTCTAAAATACATGTTATAAAAATTATATGCTTATGTTCTAAAATGCATGCTTATGTTCTAATTTTGCTTATCTATGTTCTAATTCTGTTTATCTATTAGGTTTTCTTCCCGGTCGTTTTACCAGATCACCACTATTTGCTGTGTGTCAACTTTGTGGAAGGAACATTTGATTTGATTGACAACAGATTTCTTCCACCAAATATTCCTTTTCAAAATAAATATGGAAATTACCATAGATTAATGGTAAGACATCAAAGTTTACATTTTTTTAATTATACTTTTATGTTCTAAAGTTTTCCCTTATATGTTCTACAGTTTTTCTTTATGTTCTAAAGTTTATCCTATATGTTCTAAAGTTTATCCAATTTTTCAGTTGAATGCATTTGGTGATTTCGTTCACTCAATTGACTCAAATATAAAGAGTGACTTTGAATCCTCCTTCAAAACAAGAAACTTGAGTATGTCATGGAAGAGCAATAAGAACAAACATGATTGTGGAGTGTTCCTATTGAAGCACATGGAAACATATGAAGGACAATCTGTAAAACAATGGAATTCAGGACTAGAACTAGACAATGTAAGTTTAAAACATAACACACATGTTTTAAATTAGTTTTGTTTATGGTTTTGGTGTTATAGTTTTAGTGTTGTGGTTTGGTTTGGTTATTGTTTAGATATGTTATGGTTTATTATATTTATTATATGCTTATATGCTAAATTATATTCATGTTCTAAATTATATGCTTATGTTCTAAAGTATTTCTGATTATGTTCTAATAATTATATGCTTATATTTTAATTTATTATTGTTTATGTTCTAAAAGTTACTCTTTTTTTTTTTTGCAGTTTGACCAAATGAAAAAATTAAGAGTAGAGTATTGTGGGAAGATAATATCAGCAGAAGTAAATGAAGAACGGAATAGAGTGATTAGGAGATCAAAAAAGTGGTCAAAGGAGAACAAAATTGATATATGATTGTTTAGATCTTAAGTTTATATATGTAGAATGGAATAGGAGCTATGAATATATAGTATAGTAGTAATTTGACAGCTTTGATGTTTCATATTATGATGGATAATATTTGTATGAATGTCAATGCTGCTTCTAATCCATTACTTTTGCTTTATTTTTCCTTTTGAATACGATGCATACACTCTTTAGTGCATATCTAAGAAGGCATATGTAAAGAAATGTTAAGAAACTTAAATAAATAAAAGTTGATTAAAGCATGATTTAGACTCATTAGAATATAGATTGATAACTTTAGAACAAAATGAATAACTTTATCTTCTAAACTTTAGAGCATATTGAATTACATTAAAACAAAAAGAATAAACATTAGAACATAGAGAAAACACTTTAGAACATAGAAAAATAACTTTAGAACATAGAGAATACTTTAGAACATAGAAAGTAACTTTAGAACATAGATAAAACACTTTAAAAATCATCCTAAAAATAAGCAAGCTAGGAATTAAATACTTGTTGATGATATTGATCAAGCATGTACCTTTGAGTTTTAAGAGAGAGAATTGCATATATGATCAACCTAAGAGCTGATATTAGGTTTTTTCACAAAATATTAACCAATTTAATTTGTTAGAATATTAGCAATAATCTGAAAAGGTTACCCTTCTAATAACATTTACTCGTAGTTCAAATTGACTTAATAAAACAACTTATAATTACAAAAAAGGGGGAAGATGAAAAGAGAGGAGATGTTATGAAAAATTATAATCAACTTTAATTAACATAAAATTGATAAGAAAAACAATAGTAGAGATACTTTGACCAATAATTGGACAAAAAAGAAATAAAAATATATTGTTTCTAAAAGTAAATAAAATTGAGTTCTTATATTTTAAGAATTACATGAATAGTATTTTACATGCTAGTAAATGAGATATTGTTTCTAAATATATAACATCTCATGCAACTGGAATAATAGTATATTCATCAACCTGTAAAAAAAAAAAAATTAGAACATAAGCACATAATTTAGCATCAAAAATTATTATAACATGCCATTTGTATTAGTTTAGAACACAAGATATTATGGCTTTAATCAATAATCAAACAAATAGACTCATTAGAATATAGAGTGAAAACTTTAGAACATTTAAAGAAACCTTTAGAACATATAAAGAAAACTTTAGAACATATAAAGAAAATATTTTGAACATAAAGAGAAAAGTTTAAAATATAAAGGAAAACTTTAGAACAAAATGAATAACTTTATCTTCTAAACATTAGAACATATTGAATTATATTAAAACATAGAGAAAACACTTTAGAACATAGAAAAGTAACTTTAGAACATAGAGAAAACACTTTAGAACATATTGAATTACTTTAGAACATATATGAATAACTTTATGTTCTAAACTTGCTTAGAACATAATTACTTTAGAACATATTGAATTACTTTAAAACATAAAGAATAAACTTTAAAACATAGAAAGTAACTTTAGAACATTAAATAAATTACATTAGAACATAATAAAATAATATTACATGACAAATATATTAGTTTAAAACACTAGAGATTATGTTTGGAAAATAAGAATATTAATTTAGAACACAAAGTATAAAGTTAGAATATTAGAACATATTATTATATATTAATTTTGACTTAAAACTTAAAATTTAGAAAATTAAAACATAAAAAATTAAAAATAAAGTTTACTTACTGTAACACCCCAATAATTCTCTTTAAAAGAAAATCTGTAAAAACCTGTGAGTATAACCTGTAAAACCTGTAAGACCTGTATAACCTGTATAACCTGTGAAACCTGTAAGACCTGTATAACCTGTGAAACCTGTAAGACCTGTAAGAGAATTATTGGAGTGCTACCGCCACGTGTTCAAACGATAAGGCTAGTTTCAGAAATCAGCAGCGGAAGACTAACTTAGTTTTTAAAAGAATATAAGTTTCAAAACTGGTAGTCAAAACTCAAAGTCTTACAAGTTGGAACCATAACGGCCCTTATTCAAAATCCAGTAAAATAGGAAGTAACGGAACCAACACCAAAATAAAATTCAATCTGTGTTATGAAATTAGCTAACTGGTTAACCAACTCTCCACTCAAATCCCATCACCCTGATGCAAGACAGTTTATGCAAAAACCTGTGATGAATCTGCTCCCCAATATCACAAGTGTAATAATTGGATCATTACAGGGTCATTGAAGGCGAAGGCCATGACCAAAGAAAGACACACAAGAGCACGCAGTCAGCAACGCTGAGCACATACAAGTTACGAAATATAATAAAGAGTTCTAGCATGATACTAACAAGCATTCCATACACTCACAATATTATCATTGACTCGAACTCGACTCCATAGTTACTCATTACTAAATTTTTGTTTAAATAACATTGAACATCTCATTAATTGATTGGATTAAGCAATAGACCGGGTTGTCCCCCTGTGTTCCATTCCAGAACATTAAATAAGAAAACTCTATGCCTCCTTTCGGAAGACATGAATAAACATCCAATGGCAGACGGGCGCGACTCCGTGGCCATAGCTAGCATGAGATCTCATCTAACTCATTATAATTTTAAAAGAATTTAAAACAAGAGACTCGTAGATCAGACGGCCTCTGAAAAGTGCACGGCTAATACCCCGTGAACCCCAACCCATGTTTGTCATTACTCTAGATGTGCACAAATCCAGAGTTTTATTGCTCATCCTTCTTGCACTTTACGTGATTACCAGTTTAGATTAGGTGATGACTCGCATGTAATCAACACAACCAATCATACATCAGTCATACAAATCATTCAAGTTTCCAATTCAATTCTTAATTTGTTAGTGACAAACAACATGTATTATTGCATCCTTTAACTACCTCGGTGTATAAACACCTTAAGTGCATAAGGCACCTCAAATCCACAATCCTGTCTTATCAAACTTTAACTCTTTCTTTACTCATTCCAATTCAATACAATTGCATAAGTAGTTAAAACGATTCATTCAAAATATATATACTTGTAGCTTTGCTTCTAAGCTCTCTTGCAAGATATTGCATAAATAATGCTCAATAGGAAACATCAATGCAATTTCTCATACATGAATTAAAGCAATCATCACATTTATCAACAATCAACTTATTACCAAACAATTTCAACCAATCCACAAGTCTCCTAACATGATTCTAGGTCTTTTTCAAGTCCTTAAACATGCTTCTAAAGTCAAGGTTCTTCGTATACTTGTACGTACCTTGAGTAAACAAATTGATTGGCCACCTTAAAGCTAGAAGTCACCTTCTATGAAATCCTCTCCTAAACAAAACAACAGTAGTTCAATCAATCACCCAAGCAATATATTTTACAGCAATACCAACTACTTTAAAATTCTTTAAATCATTGAAACAATGCTCTTAAATTATTCCCAATAGCCAAAGTTAATAATTTAGTACTTGAACTATGAGTTTATGTGCTTTAATCACAAAAATATGGCTTATAGCAAAAATTTCAGCAACTTTAAAGTAATATAATAAATCTGAAAATTCGTTTTAAGCATGTAAAACAATCTCGCAAACATTTTCACTTGAAACAATCATCATATAGTACGTTAGTATGTTGAGAACTTGAAAACCCATCATCAAAACGTGGTTTAAAACCTTTAAAGTTAAGATTAAAAATCTGGAATTTTAGTTTAATAGTAGAATATAAGAATACAACAATCTAAACTTGGGATATATGATTAGGATTCAATTAGATTCATAAGTACTCAATTAAACCTTCAAATTCCCACGACTTGAACCTTAAAAAAAAATATAATTCAAATCTGAAAATTAATTTTATTAGTAGTTGGAAATCAACAATCCATACTTGTATTACTGTTATAGTACTTATAAACACTTAGAAACATCAAAAGTTTTACTTTTGATACTAAGACAATAAAAATTCAGATTATATATAAAATTGAAGAACATCAACATGCTATTTTAACAACCCATTGCATGATTTAATTATGATAGCCAAATAGTGTAAATAGGACTTCTAAAAATATAGTTTTGAACAGTTTAAACCCAAAATCAGTTTTTCTGAAAATCTGAAAATTATTTATGCTCATCAAGAATTAAAGTTAGGATCATATTTAAACACAAGGTAGCTAACTAAATCAATCATTCACGTTTTATGCCCAAAACTACGAAAAATCAAGATTTCAAACCTTAATTTCGTAATTAATAAAATCTGAAAATTAATTATATGCTTAATATATCATAAACTCGATAAATTTGCAATCTTTCACAACTCAAAAACATAATCAAACTATAATAATTATTAATCAACGAAAAATTCGTATAAAGATTAAAGCTTTGAAGAATTTAAACAAGAAAATAGAGGAAGATAGAAGAGAAGGGAAACCGGTCGTGCTGGGCGGCTGGGCGGCTGCGGGCAGGCGGCAGCAGCAGGCTGGATACGATGGTGGTGGTGCTCGGTGGCTGCGAGCAGGCGGCAGTCGGCAGCAGTTCACTTTTTTTTTTTTTCTTCTGTGTGTTTCGTGAATGAGGGGAAACAGTGAATGAGGGAGTAATAAGGAGGAAGCTGTTTAGGAGGGTTTTTGGGAGGGTTTACTTAATTAAAAAAAAATAAGGAGAAATAAGGTAAGTTTACTTAATTAGGAGTAAAAATATGGTTTAAAGATTTTTTTCTTGGTTTTATTTGTCAAATCTTTCCAAAAGAAAATATTTATAAAGTATAAAATTATTACAAAGTATTTGTATAAAAAAAATATAATTATAATTTGCTAAGGAAAATATGGGGGATTACACTTACAATATCACTTGACTTTTCCAGGGCAATTACGACTATCATGATAACCAAGCTCCCCACATGCTTTACATAATCTCTTCTTCTTTTGACTTTGTTCAATAGACTTTTCTCTATTACTCTTCATTCTTTTGTCACTATTTGGAACATGAACCTCATTTGGAACATTGACCTGATTTGGAACATGAACCTCATTTGGAACATGGACATCATTTGGAGCATTGACCTGATTTGGAACATTGACCTGATTTGGAACATGAACCCCCGCGCCTTTGTTCTTCGAAATTTTAGGAGGTTTGATTAAAACATTAGAAGGTAGACTAGCTCCAATAAGCATTTCAATGTCTTTAACTTTGCTCGAAATATTGTTGCTTCCATTTGTTGTTTTCTTCTGTTCCAAATCTATCCTCATGGTTCGAAGTTTTTTGACAAGATCACTAAGATCATCTTCATTGTTTTGCACTAAACTCACACAAGCATGAATTTCAGACCACAAATCATTTAATAGCATTTTCTTATCTACTGCATTAATACATTCCTCCAACACATTACCCTCTAAATAAAAAATGGGCTTCTTATAAGCCATTGTACACCATCTATTTAGAACGTAGGCCTTGGGAATTTTTTCTAACATCCTTGCCTTCCACACCCAAATCATATGCCTACAAGGCACACCATCACGTTCAAATTTTTTACAAAAACACTTGGTATCAAAGGTAGTTGGATCAAAAACAACATCAAAAGTCCTCTTCCTAGTTCCTTCCCTCAATTTGAAAATGTAAAGCTCATTGTCCTTCTTCATCTCCTCAACACCACAATTAAAACATCCAATTTCAAGCTCATATTGAAATTCATAGAAAATTGTTGTTGTAAACAATTCAGAAGCATCTTTCTCTAAAGGAATTGGAGTCTTACACTCCGGACGCTTATTTTTTGAATCATTATCCATTTTATTTTGAGTGTGCCTTTGAGCATCCAATGCACATTCAAACCTATAGAAAATAGAAATTAACTTTAGAACATAGAAGATAATTGTAGAACATAGAGTGAATTACATTAGAACATATAAATATACATGACATGCTTATTATGATCTAAATACTATTAAAACATAAAGAAAAAACTTTTCAACATGTAAGACAAAATTTAGAACATAAAAAGAGAACATAAAAGAGAATTATAAAATAAATAGTAAAACTATAAAACATAAAAAGAAAACTTTAGAGCATAAAAGGAAAACTTTAGAACATAAAGAGTAACTTTAGAACATATTACCTCATGTAGAACTCAATCAAAGTGAGATGGGGATTTGTGAACATAGTGAAAAAATTATTTTCACTTTCTGATCTAGATGTGGTCCTCATGATGCCACCCAAAAATAAATCTCTGAAATACGCTGGAATCCACATATCACGTATGTTGTACATGTATGCCAACCATTCATGATCGTTCAAATGGAATTCTGAAATAACTTTGTTCCACTTTTCTTCAAATTCTGTCGGCTCAATCTCTAAATTCCAAACACATGAACACAGTTTTTTCAAAAAATCAGTGTCTTGGGCAATTTCCCGACCTACTTTTTCAGGCACCTATTTCATAATATGCCACATACAAAACCTATGTTCTGTAGTTTGAAAAACATTACGAACAACAACTTTCATTGCAGGGTCTTGATCGGTAATCAAACACACAGGCTCGTTATTTCCCATTGCTTTAAGAAAAGTTTTGAAAACCCATTCAAAAGATGATATATCCTCATGAGCTACAAAAGAAGCCGCAAAAGTAACACATTTTTTATGATGATCAACTCCAGTAAATGGACCAAAGATCATATTATATCTGTAACATACACAAATTATTTATGCAGAAAATGTTACAAAATAGAGGTAAACTTTAGAACATAGAGGTAAACTTTAGAACATAAATGTATACTTTAGAACATTAAGGATAAACTTTAGAGGATAGTAATTTACTTTAATTATTAAACTTGGCAGTAATATAGTTGTTATAAAACATAATGAATTACTCTAAAACATAAACACTAAACTAAAAATATACAGTGAAGCTTTAAAAACTTATAAGTAAACTTTAGAACATATAGACATAATGTTTAGAACATGATGGATATTAGTTTAGAACACAAAGAATAAAGTGTAAAACACAAAAGCATAATGTTTAAAGCATAAAAGCATGATGGATATATTTTAAAGCATAAGGTAGAACATCAGCAATATATGTTTAGAACATCAGCAATATATGTTTAGAACATAAGGCATACATAGTTTAGAATATAAAGAAAATATGTTTAGAACATCAAAACATGATGGATATTTGTTTAGGAACACAAGGCATGATATTTAGAATATAAGAACATATGTTTAAAAAATTAATATGTAAAAGTAAAATATTAATTACATTATAAAAGAAATTTATATTTAGAACATCACCTGTTTGTTTTGAATGTGGTATCAAAAGAAACCATATCACCAAAAAGTGCATAATTTTTTCGACATATAGGATCAGCCCATAAAGCTCTACAAAGTCTATCTTCTTCATCAACATCATAGGAAAAAAAAAATGCACTCTAGAGCAATTTCTTATTTTGAAAATTATCCACAAACATTTGGGCATCTGATCCATCAATATAAGCCTTCAAATCTCTATAAAAATTTTTGAAATCTTGTTTAGATGCACCAACATTATCATGTGATCCAGCTAATTCTTTCATCATAGTATAAGACCTCACAGGACCAACATTTACCTGTTTACAAAAAAAAAAAAAAAAAAAAAAAAAAAAAAAAAAAAGTTACTAAGATTAAGAATCAACTTTAGAACATAGTAAATCAAAACAAAGAAAACATTATTTAGTACATAAAAATAAATCACCTTTGAATTATCAACAATCAACTTTTTATGCATAATATGCATTTTTCTATTATGCTTTTGAAATTTTGCACAACTTGGAGTATATAAAGGATGATTATGTTCTTCTTTGAAATGAGTTATAACATACTTTCCAGCATCATATCTCATACATATGTGAGCATTGCATCCTACACGAGTGACTAAACGTTTCCTAGTAATACAAACTTTTCCTTCTTCATAAACTGTTTGTTGAGCAATAGGTTTTCTTATTGCCCTGAAACCTTCCTTATTGCAAACTCCATATTGAAAAGCAATTATATCTTTGTTATTCTTCTTCCTTTTAGTAGTAGATTTCCTAGAAGTAAACCCAGCGGCATTTGCATATGCTTTATAAAAACTAAGACCCTCTTCAGGATCTTTAAATATCATCCCCAAACTGGGTTTTAACTCCTCGGGAACACTTGGAATCCATTCCTTAGTGGTACCACCAGGGCTAAATGATCCAACAACCTCTGGAGTACGATAAATAACACCAACTGCATTAGAACATGAAAGTAAACATTAGAACATAAAAATAAACTTTATAATATAAAGAGAAAGATACATAGAAAACTTTAGAACATACATAGAAAACTTTAGAACATACAGAGAAAACTTTAGAACATCAAGGATAAGCTTTAGAACATAGTAAATTAGGGACATACTTATAACATATTGCTTTAGAACATAGTGAATTACTTTATAACATACATAATAAAATTTAGAATAAAGTGAAAAAATTAAACTAGAAGGTTAACTTTAGAACATACAATGAAAGTAAACATTAGAACATAAAAAGTAAAATTTAAAACTAGAAGGTAAACTTTAGAACATAGAATGAAAGTTTTATAATATAAAGATAAAGTAGGATTCCCTACTCCGGTACTCCCTATGTCAGATTGGTGGGGCCATGGTTCGGTGATTCCAGTGGCAGTAACATGCATCAACTATCCCTATGTCAGATTGCTAGGATAAAGTAGCATTCCCAACTCCCAAGCCCCCAATGCCCAGCTCCAAGACGAGCCTTGAGGTTGTTGTGGCATTATCCGATAATGACCGATATTGTTTACCCACAGTTTACTTTGAATCATTACAAATTATTTAAAATGGATTAGATATTTTTTATTTATCAAATTAATTAACTTCCTCGGATTAGTACCATAATATTTTATTTTAGCTCATGTTATTTTTTGCACTACTTGAATTATACTCCGTATTTTTTTTTGCCCAAGCAATATAGTCATGTTAAGAAATAAAAATAGTCGATAAAATCCAACTAATTTTAGTTTGTGGTACTAAACAGTGCTCCAACAGAGAACAAACAATCTCAAAAAAGTTTGAAAAGCCTAGTGAAGAAATATTGAATCAGTGATTTGTAAGTGCATGTGTGGGGTTGCAAATTATAGATTCTACACTCTAACATAGCTTGTGAAAATATCTCTGCTATTTCATAAAGATGTGACTCATGACAATTCTAAATTAGTATTGTCGTTTTCACTTATCACTAGGACTCACTACTACACATTCAATTCCATACTCCGATGTAATTGTAGAGTATCAAATACTAGCACTGTTTAGTACTACTACTTTTTATAATCCTTCATCAACCACTCTTTCATACTCCGATGTATTCTGCATTCTAAAAGGAGTTCAACAGGCAGCGGAACATGGCATTTGCGCTTATCATTCGGATGGGAACATATAGAGAAAACTTTAGAACATTACCGATAAACTTTAGAACATAGGAAAGAAACTTTAGAACATGTAAGTAAATTGAAATTAAAACATTAAAAACAATAAAATTACCTGAATGAGTAACACAAGAAGAAGGATAATTAGGTTGAACACCATCTAAATCCATCAATATGCAAAAACCTATTTAAAAAAACACATATTGTAGCAAAAAAGCAACTAGAAATTAAAATCCATTAAAAATCAAAAATCTGGAAAAAAACTCAAGCAAAGGAAAAAACAGAACAATCTGGAAATGAAAAATCGCAAAAAAAAACAAAAAAAAACAGAAAATTAATGAAAAAAAACTGAAGAAAATTCGCAAAAAAAAAAAAAAAAAAAAACAGATAAAATCGAAAAAAACAGAAAATAATTGCTCGAAAGTCGGAAAAAAAAAAAAAACAAAAAAACATATAACATCGAAAAAATCTGGAAATGAAAAATCGAAGAAGAAAGAGAAAACTAGAAAACGAAATTGATGAAATTAATGAAAAAAACTCAAGAAAATTCGCAAAAAAAAAAAAAAAGATAAAATCGACATAAACTGAATGATGAAATCGCAAAAAGAAAAAGAAAAAAACAGATTTTTGCTGATTTTCGAATTGATGAATTGCATATCCACAAATAATTAGAAAAAATAAAATTTCACACAAATTCGCCAAAATAAAAAAAATTCAACAAAAATTCGCAAAAATTAGATATCAATAAATAAATTAACTAAAAGAATAATCAAAATTATAAAAATTGAATAACAAACCTTAATTTCTTGAAGGAATTTGCATCCAAAAGTATGAGAGGAGAGAGAGTTGTAATGTATGAGAGGAGAGAGAAAGAGTTGTAAATTTGTAATGTATGAGAGGAGAGAGAGAGCTGTAATGTTCCAAGCCCAAAAAAAAAAAGGAAAGAAGAAACGTGAATGAGGAGAAAGAAAGGGAAAAGAACAACGAAAATTACTAAAATGCCATTACTAATCATTCATTTTCAGCGGTCAGGTCAAACTAATTGTACGGTCCAGATTAGTTCTTATATATAATGGGTTCTTATATAGAGGAGGGTTCTTATATGAGCCTTCCTCTATATATATATATATATATATATATATATATATATATATATATATATATATATTTTGTATTTGATTTTTGTTTCAATACTCTGTTAAATTCATTGTTTTTTGTTGATTTTATTTGTGAATTAGCTTTGAAATTAGTGAAAAGAGTTGATTCAAGGTAAAAATTTGATGTTTGTTTAGTTAATTATGTCTTTGATTTTGAATTAAAGCTTGGTTATAAGCGATATTTGCGTTAATTTGGTGTACGAATTAGCTTGAAATTTGGTAAAAATAAAAAGTATACTTGAGCAATTATTTTTATTCCTTTTCCTCTTCCTCGGCCTTTTCATTTTGATGTTATTGATTGTTTAGTGGGTGGTAGTATGCTACATTACACTGGGTGATAACAGTACAAGCCTTTTTTTGGACGTTTTATGGTCTTCTTCCTCAAGGAAAGGGTAATGGGCGAGTATTATCAGAAAGAAATTTTTGGAAAATGCGAATGTGAACTTTAGAGTTTTTGGTCTGGAATTATGGGGTTGGAATTTGACTGATGCAAGCTTAATAAATTGTTTCAGCTAAATAACGTTCCAATTAACGGAGTGTTACTGTGTTGATTAACACCGATCTTCCGTGGTACCGTGTGGCAAAAAAACAATTTTGGGTACTATATGGAAAAGACAATTGTATAGTGGTATCAGCAGGGCCGTCTCATTCAGTATAGGGGCCCTGTGCTATTTTTGAATTAGGCCCCGATGATTTTAAAATGTATAATTTTAAACATGAAACTATGCTCTATAGTCTTAAGATCATTGCTATTAGCTTTTTTTTACACATAAACTTATGTTGTATTATTAAGTTTATGAATTTGATAACTACATTTTATTTTGAAGTTTAACTAATATATTTCCTTTTTTGAGAGAAAACCAATATATTTCTTAATTAAGTAATCTAAATTGTAAGGTTTGATTATTCTGTTTACATAAAAAATTAGCAAAACATGTTTATAAAGAGGAAAAAGAAAAAAAAAAAAGCAGAAAATAAAAAAAATGTAGCAATGTGGGGCTCGAACCATGGACCAGTATTCCAAGACTTAATGACTTATGAAATTTGGTGCTACCAACTAAGCAGATTTCATATCCTTATCATTATAGACATTACATCTATTTAGATTATTATCAGGATTTTTTCAATTGGAGGCCCTATGCTGTGGGTCTCTTTGCGTTGGCCCATAGACGGCCCTGGGTATCAGATGGAAAATCCCTTATTATAATTATAATAATAATACAAAACATGCCCATAAATAAGTTATAAGAGCATAATGAAAGGGGATAAGTAAAAGTGGAAGAATTTAAGGGTTTTTTTTTTTTTTTTTTTTTTTTTTTTTTCAAAAGTGAACAAAAATTAAGAATAAAAATTTTAAAAATGTGTGATTTAAAGATAATTTCTTTCAAAATTCTAAATTTATAGTTTTATACAAGAAAAAAGTAGTTTTTTTCACAAATTTTCCTTATTAATTAAGACGCATTGATCTCTATTACAAATTGAGACGAAATTCATTTGGCTCTAAATCCAATCCGATCTGAAATAAGATTCGTTTTCAAAATTCCAGTTCAATTGGATTTAAATTTCTCACAAATCTAACTCGACCTAATTCGAATTAAAATTCGATTCTATAAATCCAATTCGAATTAAAATACGTTGTAAATTTTTAGAGCCTAATTGCAATTATATAAAAATAAAATTGGTCTAATCCCATTATCTTAATACATGCTTGAAAACATAGTTCTTGCGTGATTACTTTGCAATTATACATACAGAATTTACTATTCGGTTTTTTCGGTTCCAAACAAGCCCAATCCTATCAATCTAAATCTAAATTTTCATAAAGTATTAATCTGATTTAAGACCTTGATTTGATTTGATTTGATTTGATTTAGATTGAATTGAATTTCAGTTTTAATGAGAATACTCGGACACCCCTAAGGGCCCTAACCCAAACTAAAAAGAATTACAAGCCCAAACAACATGTCTTGCGCACTACGAAAATAAAAAAAAAAAAACGCAAAAACAAAGCTCAACGAAAACGACGTCATTTCATCCACCCTTTATTCTCCTCATTTCACACCACTCACATAAACATTCTCTGTTTATCTCACAATTTCCCCTAAAACTTGCACATTTCATTTCCTTCCATTTCTAAAACCCTACTTTCCTCCATAAATCACCCTAACTCCAAACAACCTTCATCAATGGCGGACAACGAAGCTCTCTCTATTGGCGTCAATGGCGACACCGCTGATCTCAACGAACCTGATCATTCTTCCAAGAAGTCAACCTCCACCACCTCCATTGACGACCTTAATCAGAGGATCGAAGCTTTGGAGAAGGAGAAATCCGATTTGGAGAGCGAAAATTCGAAATCGGAGGCTAAAATCGGTGAATTACAAGCTGAGATCGAGTCACTCAAGGCTGAAAACGCCGAGTCGGAGTCGAATCGGAGGGCGGCGGAATCCATAGCTAAGAGAGCGTCGGAGCTTGAAATTCAAGTGTCGCGTCTTGAGCATGACTACATCACCTCCATGAACGAAGGCGCCGAGTCGAGCCGTGAAGCTCAGGAGCTGAAGACGAAGATCAAGGAGATTGAAGAGAAGGCGAAGAGAGAGAAACAGGTGAAAGAGAATGAAATTGCTGCACTTTTGATCGAGAAGAAGGAGGTTGAGAATTCGGTTGAGCAGCTTCAGGCTTCGTTGAGGATTTCCGAAGCTAAGGTGAATCAATTGGAGGAGAAATTGGATGAATTGGCGAAGAAATCGGATGAATCTGAAAAATTAATTGACGGATTAATGGATAAAGTTGCAGAAAGAGAAGTTGTTGATGATGGATTTGCAGGATTCAATACTCTATTGCCTGCTATTGGTGCTGTTTCTGCTGGTGTCGTCGTCGCCGCGGCTGTGGTGTGCTACATTAGGCAGAAGTAGAGGCAGGTACAAATATAGATTATTGATGAGATAACTTGTTTTAGGTTGAGAATTCAAATGGTTACTATTGGATAGTAGTAATCTAGTTATTTGCTAAATTTTGATGTTAGTTGCCATGGTTTTATTCTTTTTTTTTTTCTTAAATTCTGTTTTTAGCAAGATAATTTGGAAATTTTATTATATTTTTGTATGAGGTTGTTAAGGTGTGAATCCCAATTTTGTTCTATGATGATACATGATTGATTTTGATTAAATGTGATGTTTGAGTGTTGATTTTGATGATGCTGATAACAATTCTTGATAAGGTTTTTCTAGATTGGTGCTATAATTTGATTTCATTTTTTATTTTTCTCTCGTGGTAGTGGAAATTTGGTGAATTATTTCATTATGTTTTTAGTTTATCTTCTTATGCTGCCTTATTGTACCATTGGTGTTAAATTTCTTGACTAGTATAGCTCTGGAACTCGAATTTTGGGCTTTGGATTTGATATTCTGAGGAGTGTTTTTGCCTTTGTCAGATGACTAGAATTGGAAGCAGACGGAATCCCAAAATTATGGGTGAATTGTACAATTTGATCTCTACTTGCCATGAAATCTTGCAGAGGGTAGCTTCTTACCCCCTTCAAGTGCTCATAGGCCGATTGTTGCTTTTGGAAATTTGATTCCAGTTGCAGCAACGTTTCCCTCCCCGAGACCTAAATTTACTTTCTCTTGGTCTCAATTCTTCATCTAATTTAAGGGTTATTGAAACATATGGTATTCAGGTTGCTACAAAGAGTTAGAATACTATCTGAAGTTTCAATGTTGTTTTGATGTTAGTTTTGAAAGGGTGATTAGTCCACCCTTAAACCCATAAATATATGTGGCAACAGGCAGCCGGCAACTGTGATGGTGTAAATGACAACCTAGTGAGAAGTTTTCTGTCATAATGTTTAGGTCTCGGATTTAGGTCATGGTGTAAATGACAACCTAGTGAGAAGTTTCTCATAGGTTGCTCATAGGCCGGAATGAAACTTCTCACTAGCTCATAGCCGGGAATAACGTTCCTTTTGTTTAACAGTTAACTTTGTCATAATGTTTATTCATCCTCTTATTAAACTTAATCCTCGAAGCATATTCATGGATTCACCTATGTGCTTCATGGATGGAGTCTGATATAAGTACCTGAATAAAGTATTACGAAGTATTTCTTTATCATAAGGTCGATTTATTCTCCTACTTGTGTAAACCGAATTGGTTTTTATATTCTGTCGACTGGTATTAGTTAGCAATCTATGTTTGTGATTATGAATCTACTGTAAACAACCGCATCATGAATTAGACGGTGCAGATGGGTGAAAACTTTATACTGTAATTTGTTGAGATGTTAAGGTATGAAGGGTAAAGTTCCTAGCCAAAAGCAAAATGACATAAAAATAGTACGACTGCAAGCTATGTTGTGAGGCTAATTTGCCTTGCCAGAGCTTGTATTCAAGACTTGAATTTTCAGTCTAGTGGTTTAAGTGGTTGATTGTGATGCAAATGCACTCGGTGGATGATTTTCATCACTCATTCACCATTCCAAGTACTTTGTCACTTTTCATGTACTCTGGCAGCATATTCCAGGACATAGCATATTATCTGGCGCCATGTGCTCATAGTTTATTATTACTTGCACGATTGTACTGCCTTTTTCTGGTAGAAAAAAGGGTAGTTATTAATCTTATAATGTTGACACGTAAATGCAAAATCTTGTAGGTGGCAAACTAAATTTGCTTTATTATGAGTTTGCTGACACTTTTGTGACCTCTCTATTTTAAGTAGTGAAGGTCATGCTTAGTTCAACTTTTTATTTATTTTATTTATTTTTAAAATTTATTTCTAATCAGATAAAAAAAAAAGTTCAGGTCAGACTAAAATAAGTTTTTTGATATATTTTGTCGTTTTATGTGTTGTTTTTTTTAGGAAAAATTATCAAAAATAATACAAAATTTGAGCGGTCTACTTAAAACAAGTCAAACTTTTGATTATTTCTAAATAATACAAACTTTGGGGGGGTTTTCGCCTAAAACAAATTATAATCGGTTAGCAACTTGGTTAATAGGTTATATGGAACACATGTCAAAATTTTATTGGTTTAGCAATTTAATTTGATTATTTATTTATTTATTTATTTAATGTTTTTTATTTTTACAAGATTATTATTATTATTATTAATATATATATATAAATTTTTAAACTCATTCCCCACCCAACTCAGCGACCGCTGCCACCCTTCCCTGCCCCTCGGCGCCGGCCGCGCCCATATCCCCTCCCCCAGCGCCGACGCCGACCCCCCTCCCCCGCCCGTCACCCCTTCCTTCTTCCCCGACGCTGACCTGAACTGATTAGGGGATTTTTATCCACCAAGCGCCGTTTGACAAGTGGACCAACCAGGTTCCGCCACGCGTCCTCCACGGACCACTTAAGACACGCCACGTGTCCACCCATGCCAAATGGGACAACCGGCCATCAAGGCCCATTTCAGTCTAGAAGCCCGTTCGGCCCTAGGTTTACCTTAAACCTAGAGAGTTGCACGCTTCCCAAGGCTATAAATACTCGATTAATCCTCATTAATCAAGGGACCGAATAATTAACGGAACACACTAATAACCGGCTGATCTCGCTAGCAAAGCAGATTACCTACATTAAATACTCTCACCTAGAGAGACCTTATTACTTTAATTTCTGTATTAATTACTCCTTAATCAGGTACTAACTTGACCGTTGGAGGCGGAGCTCTCAGGAGTCTCCGTTATTTTGCAGGTACAGGCGTCCGGTTCCAGTCTCGGAATTGTAACTCTCCCGCAGGACATCAGAAAACCCCGAAACATTTGGCGCCGTCTGTGGGGAGAGTACTTCAGAGATGGCATCCAAGTCTGTACCGACCCCAGAAGAGAGGCGTCCCCTAGACGACCCTCAAGTTCAGTCGGACCATGATACCGAAAGTGAATTTGAAGTTGAAACTCATACAGCTCCAGACGGGACCCTAAGGGCCCGCCGTACCCGTCATACTGAAATAAGGGAACGGGAGTATCTTCAAACAGGAAGCGAGCCAGCAGGCGCACCGCTTGCTCGGCAACAGCCGACTGATGGGTCTGCTCCCATCACAAGGAACGAACTCATGACCTTCATGAGGGGATTCAAGGGAGAGATCCAAGAGTTGATCAACAAAAAACCGCCTGCTTCAGTCAAAGAGCAGGCGGCCAAAAAACCTTCCACTTCACTGAAGAGGAAGCCAGTTCAAGGGCGAGAGGCGACTCCCCATCCTAAATCTAAGAAGCGGGAGCCGTCTGCTCTTGATTTCACAAAACTCCGTTATCCTACGGGAAATAGGAAACCGGTTCGTCATATTCAGGCGGACGGGTCAAAGCAAACGTTCACAGATGCTCGGCACCTGCTAGAGCAGAAGAGGAGTGACCGATTATCAGAGTCGGCTTCTACTTCAAATTTTCAGGACAGTTTGCGAAATGCCTCGATGAGGCCAACTCAGTCGTACCATGAGAGTCAGTCAGGCGGCACCTCCCGACAGTCTGGCTTTCATAGTGCGCAGGCGGTACCAAATTTGCCATTTGTGCCGCAACAACAATATTTTATGCAGCCACCTCCATTTGGTGGACCTGCAGCAAAAAACGTCCAACCTATGGACTGGCAGCTACGGCTGCTTAGACTTGGTGAACAGCCGTCGGCCTTCTCCAAGGAAATTACTGAAGCCGCTCAGCCGGCCAAAGTAAAAAATGTTTTAGTAGGCGCCTATGATGGCACTACTAACCCGGAAGACCATCTGATGGCATTCACCAACCTGATGTACCTTCAAGGGTTGGATGATCCCACTTGGTGCAAGTGTTTCCCAGCAACTCTCAAGGGAATTGCACAGCAATGGTTCGGCAACCTGCCGACTGGTTGTGTAAACAGTTTCAGGACGCTTGCTTACTTATTTGCCTCCAACTTTGCAATGAACATCCCTGCGAAGAAAACGACCCTTGATTTGGGAACAATTCAGCAGGGTGAAAAGGAGGGGCTTCGTTCCTACATCAGGCGGTTCAACCTGATGAGAATACAGATTCAAGGGTTACCGGATGAGGTAGCTTATACTGACTTTTTTAGAGGTCTCAAAGACGGGTCTACCTTCAAATTTGATTTAGTTCGAAAAAGGGTGGCGACTCTTCAAGAGGCCTTGATTGAAGCAGAAGCCTATATACAGGCGACTGATCTGTGTACAATGAAACAGTCGGACGGGAAGAGGTTCGACAATAGAGAAGGACGACAGAAACAGTCGTCCAACAAAGATGAAAAAAGAAAAGGGGTCTGGGCGGCTGATTCCTCTAAACAGCCGGCCAAGAAGAAAAAGGAATTCAAACCATACTCCCCAAAGTATGTGTTTAACAAGGATAACCAGTTTATCCTAAAAGAAATAAAGGGACGGCTCTCAATTGAGAAACCGCTCCCCATGAAGGGTTCTGCGAGCAACCGGAACCAAGACAAAATCTGTGCTTATCATGATGACATTGGTCATCACACCAACGACTGCATTAGTCTCATGCGGTACCTAGACCGCTTGGCTGATCAAGGTGATCTTGACACTTATGTCAAGAAATCTACGGGGAATACTTCCTCAAAAAAGCAGTCGGCCAAAAAGAATCAACAGGCCGACAGTTCCGATACAGATGATGCAGTCGTCTACACCATTGCAGGCGGCTTCTCAGGAGGCGGCCCCACTATTAGGGGCAACAAAGAAAATATAAGGCGGTTAGATGTAAATTCCGTTCACCAAGAACGACCGTCCAAATATACATTTCCTGAGATTGTCATCACTGAAGAGGATCTAGGAGGAATAAGGGGGCCGCATGACGACCCTCTCGTTATTGAATGTAAAGTGGCCAACCAGAGAGTTGGTCGAATCCTCATAGATACTGGGAGCTCTTCAGATCTCATCAGCAGCAAATGTCTGTCAAAACTGAAATATCAGACGGACTGCATACATCCGGCCTCCCACCCTTTAATAGGGTTTGGAGGAGGAGTCGTCCACCCACTGGGACGAGTTGATCTACCCGTCCGCCTGGGCGAAAAAGGGGAAGGACGACACATGGTAGTCCGATTCCTAGTTGTAGAGGAACTCTCTGCCTACAACATGATTCTGGGTCGCCCAACCCTGAATAGTGCCAAGGCTGTTATAATCCCGTCACTTATGCTGCTTAAGTTTGAAAGGGACAATGGAACAGTCGGCTCCCTAAGGGGAGATCAGAGGATGGCCCGAGAGTGCTATCTCTCGGATGTCAAACCCACTGCTAAGGCCACTGGGTCAAGTGGAGAAAAAACAGACCTTGACAATGTCAAGGAAAGTGCGCCTGTTCAAGAAACAGGCGACAGAAAAAGAAAGGCGTCCCAGACAGAGTCCGCCAGAAAGGCAAGAAAATAGCAATCATTGGCAGAGGACCGGCCGGATGAGTTCCGCCCTCAGCCGGCTGGTGAGCATACGGACCTGATATTAGACGACTCCCGCCCTGACCGAACAGTCAAAGTTGGGACGACTGCTCTGAGAAACCTTGGTGATGACTTTCACAACCTGTTGAAAGAATACAAGGACATCTTTGCATTTGAAGTCCATTAATTTGAAGTCCATGAGTTTCCCTTTGCATGTGTAAGGCGGCCGGGGCAAGGAAAATAGACGCCTGTTCTGATTCACAACTGATAGTGAGTCAGTACAATGGCGAATACGAAGCAACACATCCGGCCATGATCAAATATTTACAGGCGGTCCGACAAGCAGTCGGCTCCCTTGAGGATTTCCATCTGATCCAAGTACCGAGATCAGAAAACAACCAGGCAGATGCACTCTCGAAATTAGCATCATCCGCCTCCTCCGATACTCCTCGAACTGTGTTTTGGGAAGTAATGGAGAAGAGAAGCATCGAGGAAAATCCTATTGGAATTCTAGACAGAAGCTCAACCTGGATGGAACCAATCAGGGCATATCTGACAAACGGTACACTGCCGGATGATCCTCAACAGGCGGCATCACTGATAAAACGAGCCTCCTGTTTTGAAATGATACAGGGGGAACTGCACAAGAGGGGGCACCTTCAACCCTTCTTAAAGTGTGTTACTCCTGAAAAGGGACGAGAGATACTAGATGATCTTCACTCTGGTTTCTGTGCTTCCCATATAGGTGGTAGGATGCTTGCTCAAAGGGCAAGGCGGCAGGGCTACTTTTGGCCTACTTTGGAAGCAGATGCAATGGAGATGGTGAAAAAATGTGACAAGTGCCAAAGGTTTGGCAAATTAATTCAC